TATGCATTTACAAATCTCACACCTGAACTATCATATTAACATGCATGGCGTTTTGATCCTTTAAAATCTATGCATGAAAAGGTGTACTTGACTTTTAAAAAGTGACAATAATGTTATTTTTATGTGATATTAAGGAAATGAAAGCTACATGTGTAAATATAAAAATTTAGGCATGAGATATATAAATATTTAAGAAATGTATGCTATGAATTTATTTTGAGGATTTTGAAACCCCTCATGATGAAATTTTGCAGATATATCCTCAACAAAATTTTCTTCAGCATCTGCAAGAAACAAATGTTCGAGAATCCTCCAATTAATTCAAAAGCTGAAGCAAAGCCGCATGCTTTAAGGATTTTCAGCTGTAAATTTTCATAAATAGACCATCAAAGACATGATTTTAATGTACAAAAACAGTAGAAATTGCAGAAAAAATTCCTAAAATTCATAATCTACCTCCAAAAACGAAGAAATCAATGTTCCAGATGGAATACATATTCGGTTAAACGCTGTAATTTGGTGGAATCCAATTTTTGTTCTGTGGTGATCTTTGGCTTCCTGACAGCCAGCATTTTCGAAGCAGAATCCAAAGTCCAGCCATGTTGAAGCGCATCTGCGATTATGAAAAATGGATATTACAAAAAGGACCAGAAACAATTAAAAAGTCTCTTTTTTTCTTATTTGGAAAATTACATGCAAGCCACATAATTCTTATGTATTTATGTATCAAATGACTAAACTTTCATATTTACATTTATATCACTTTGGTGACATAAACATGTGCATGAAAAAGCAGTTTCAATTTTAAAAAGTGCATGACAGTGATATTCTTTTATGTGATATTAATGTTTTGAGTGTTATGCAGGTAAATATAAAAGTTTAGAATGTAAGAGATGTAAATACATAAGACTTGTGTGGCATGAATGTAAATGCCCCATTCTTTTTTACTTACCCTTCAGTACTGTGTCTTATGTTGCTTGCGTTGAGATGTAATTTGTTATTGAAAGTGCAAAATTTGCCTCAATGGTTTCAACAAACCTTTCGGGGAAATTTACATACCTAGCACACAATTCTTATCTATATTTACATATCTCACACCTAAAATTCCATATTTACATACATGCCACTTTGTTAATTTAAACTTATGCATGAAAAGTGGTAACAGTGCTATTTTTAATGTTATATTAAAGATTAGAGTGTTATGCGTGTAAATATTAAATTTTAGGTTTGAGAAATGTAAATAGATTAGAAATGTGAGCCATGTCTGTGCCTAAACTAATTAAATTGGCACAAAAAAATATTAAATGACCTTATGAAAATTGTATTTCCAATAGCTACCTAAACAACAAATGCGATAAATAGAAGTGGCATTTACATGCACACCACACAATTCTTATGTATTTACATATCTAACACCCAAAATCTTATATTTACGTGCATAAAACTCAAATCTGTTTACATCAAAAATATCACTATTACTTACTTTTTAAAAGTGAAATACATATTTTTCATGCACAGCTTTATGACACAAGTATTATAAATGTAAAAACGAAAATTTAGATGTTAGAAAAGTAAATAAAAAAGAATTGTGTGGTAAATATGAAAATTTCCCTATCTAGAAACGTACAGCTGATGGCATCATCCCCGTTCATTCCCAGAAATTGAGCAGTGTCAGTAACACTGATGGTTGAGTAAGCAGAAACTAACAGCTGAAAATTTCTCTTGGTATAGCTCTCTGCACAATCACTGATATTATTATAACCTTAACTTCTTAATAAAAATAAAAATTAAAAATTAAAAGTGCAGCATAGAAGGTGAAAATACACATGCAATAACAAAAAATCTTCATATAAATCAAATCAGAACATAAAAAACATATTTTGGAGCCCAATAATGCAAATAACAATAAATTTACAGACTCTCCATTAAATGCCACGGCCTTATATTCTCTGCTTTATCATCTCGTTTATTGTTCTAGAACCAATTCTAAAGCTATTTCCTGCTGCTTATGTATTGGGATAATTGGAACTTTTTCATGGATATAGAAAATTTCAAAGTTTTGCATTTTAGAACTTTTTTTTTTTTGCAATGAATAGTACAAGCCAGCCATATGAAAATAATTGAACAAGGACTATTGCCATGAGGATTCAAATCAGTTTAATTTCCAATTGTGTTGATTGAACGTGTATTACTTTGAATTTGGTTGCCTCTTGTCGGACCTTTATTTGTCAATTTCACTCAATTTCCCATTATTACAAAAGTAACCCCCATGCTCTCCCTTTATTCATTACAGTCCGAGATTCTTTGTGGCCAACTACAATTGTCTGGTTTTCCCTTGAGAGTAAATGTACATGAAATTTATGTGTGATGGGAGAATTGGAATTTATTATTTTCAGCATATCTAGGATGACTCTGAGTAGTTTCTTGTTTCAGTTACTTTGTGAGTTAAAGACAATCATAAGGCAAATAAAATTAAGGTAAATTTACATACATAGCAAATAATTCTTATGTATTTACATATCTCGAAAGTTAACTTTTATATTTCCATATATAGCACTCTGGTGTTTTAAAACTATGCATGAAAAGATATATTTCGCTTTTAAAAAGTGATTATAGTGCTAATTTTTTACGTGGTATTAAAGATTTGAATGTTATGTGTAATCATGAAAGTTTAGGTGTGAGATAAGTAGATACATAGGAATTGTGTGCTAAGTATGTAAATCCCCTAATTCATTTCAGCATATCTAGGAGCCTTCTAAGAAGTTTCTAGTTTCAGTTACTTTTTGATTTATAGACATAACAATAAGGCAAATAAAATTACTTGAAAATTACATGTTGCCATAAGAATTTCATTTTCTTTTCAATTATTATGTTGTGTTGGTTGGATATGAATTTATTGAGTACTTCACTAGTGTTGATTACTACTTTCAGACATGAATTTGCATGCACCGATACGAAATTTGGTTTTCTTTGGCTTATTTCAAACATTGCTCTTATTTTAATTTGTTCAGTCTAATTGTGCATGTGACAAGTTTTGTCAAGTGTGATACTGAATTGTTTTCAACATTGTTGAAATCATATGTTCATTCATCATTTTTCTTGTTAAATTCAAGATTTTTTACTAAATTATCATCTGAAAGGAAAGAAGTATATTTATTATTTTTTACATAAAAAATAATTAATTTGTTCCAGAAATTAAGAGTTGATAACAAGCAAGTTTGATATTTTTTTTTTATTTTCATTGTTTGTGTCAGTGATGGTGGTAAATTTGAGGTAATTGAACATAGTTTAAAACGTGATAAAAAGATTTATCATAATCAGTTTGGATATAGGTCATGCAGTTCTACTATGGAAGCTATACTTTTATTGAGAGGTTTGATGGAGAAGTACAAAGAGAATAAGGTGGATCTACATATGATTTTTATTGATTTAGAGAAAGTTACGATAAAGCTTATGACAAAGTTCCAAGAGAAGTTCTTTGGAGAGTTCTAGAGAAGAAAGATGTTGATATGACTTATATTCAAGTCATTAAATATATGTATATTCGAGTTATTAATTGTGTTCAAAGAGAATGATTGACCAAGTATTTTCCTATTTCAGTTGGATCCGCTTTAAGCTCATATCTTTTTGCTTTAGTTATGGATGCTCTAACGGGACACATACAACAGAATGTACCTTGGTGTATGATTTTCGTTGATCATATCCTTCTTATGGATAAGACTAGAAAGAGTTCAAGAAAATCTCGAATTATGGAGGTCTACATTAGAGTTTAAAGGCCTTCATTTGAGTAGATCTAAAACTGAATACATGAAATATAAGTTTATTAATGGTAGTTCCAGTGGCAAAATTGTAACTATTGATGATCAAATCATTAAAAGGTGTGATTTTTTTAGATATCTCAAATTTTAGATATCTCAAGTTTATAGTTCAAAGGGAGGGTTATATAGATGGGGATGTAATTAGTAGAATTCAAAAGTTTATAAATCAAAGGGAGGGTTATATAGACGGGGATGTAATTAGTAGAATTCAAGTTGGTTGGTTGAAGTAGAGGAATACATCAGGCCTATTGTGCGATAGAAAAGTACTGCTTAGACTACAGGAAAATTTTTTGAGATGGTGGTAAGACCTGCAATGCTCTATGGCGCAGAATGTTGGCCTTTAAAAGAGAAGCATAAGACAAAGTTAAATGTTTTTTAGATAAGAATGCTTAGGTAGATGAGTGGCTTGACACTTAAAAATAAAATGTGAAATGAATATATTCGTGATAAGGTTAGTGTAGCTCCAGCGGAGGACAATATTAGATATAGTCATTTTAGATGATTATGTCACATTAAACGCCGACCATCTGATGATTCTGTTAGAAGAGTAGATGTTTTAAATTCGAATTATGTTAAGAAAGGCAGAGGTAGACAAAGACTAACAGAGATAGAACTAAAAAGACTTGGCAAATTGTAAAAAAAAATGATCTTAATCTATTAGAACTAAAGACAGAGATAGAACTAAAAAGACTTGGGCAAATTGTAAAAAAAATGATCTTAATCGATTAGAACTAAATGAAAATATAACACTCAATAGGACTCAATAGAGAAAAAAGATTCATGTTAGTCGACCGCACTTAGTGGGATAAAAGTTTGTTGTTGTCATTGTGTGTCATTTTATATTACATTAATATTTCCAAACTCGTCCTACATCAAATTGATATCAGAGCTTGTGGTTGCATCATGACATCAATTAAAAAATAAAAGGTGAGATTTAAAAAAAATAGATAAATTATTATTCTAAATTAATACATAGCAACTATCAGAAAGGATAAAAGTTAAATTGGGAATTATGAATAAGGGGTATTTTTAAACTAGATCGATAATTTGGAATATTTTTTCAAGAAACCATTTGTTTGATTATGAATGTTATAACAAAATTATTTGGACTTGCACAAACTTATTGATATAATATTGCAAACAAAAAAAGATCAACGCGGGCTAACATGAGACGCGGTTATAGTTTTTGCATACGGTAACACTATAATTAGTTTACAAATCATGTGGTTAAGTACTGCCTTAAGAATACATTATCATCATTATGCATTTCACTGGAGATTCTAGAGAAAAAATTAGGAGTGACTTAAGCCACAATGTATCAAGCATCCTAAGTGAGACCTTAATCAGATCTTTCAGCGATAAGATATATTGCAATCAAATTTGTTAGCAATACCTAAATAGTAATTCAAATCCTATAAAAAAATTTACCTTACCCTCTCAGTCAAGCCTATCAAATATAAACCAGCAAAAAAATCAAGTATAATTTTTTAAAAAAAATTGTAGCTTATGAGAATCCTTTTTAAAAATGAATTAAATGAAAACTTACAACTGCAATTGATTTTTTTCATATATATTGATCTAGATCTGTAACACAGTCATTTTTGGATTCAAAGTCCCGGATGTAAAAAACTGAGGGTTTTCATTAGGTAATTGATAGTCAACAAAAATTTGTTTGCCAAGAAACAGACATGAATCATTTAAATTATTGTGTCAATGCTAAGGTGTCCCCTCGAAACGACGCGTTGTATAGCCCGAACACAGTAAAAAGTGTGGAAGACATGCTGCACTAGTGCCCGTATGAAATGATAAATAAGCAAAGGTTCCCACATTATAGATGAATGTGGGCAAAGAAGTTATTCCACATTTTTCTACTTCAATTGATTACATTAGACATCGGCTTTAAGCATATATTTTTTTATTTTAGTTATGGATGTTCTTACTTTGCATTTACAGGAGGACGTACCTTGGAGTACACTTTTTGCTGATGAGATCCTTCTTGTGGATAAAACTAGAGATAGTTCAAAAAAATTTTAAATTATGAAAGTCAACTTTAGAGTCTAAAGGCTTTCGTTTGAGTGGATCTAAAATTGAAAACACGTAATGAAACGTAATTTTAATGGTAGTAGATCTAGTAGAGGGGTTATAACATTGAGTGATCAAATCATTAAAAGAAGTGAACGTTTTTTTATATCTCGAGTCTATTGTTGAAAGTGATGGTTATATACATGGGGATGCTATTAGTAGAATTCAAGTTTGATGGTTGAAGTGAAGGAATGCATCCGGTCTATTGTGTGATAGAAAAACACCGCTTAAAATAAAAGGATAATTTTATAAGACGGTGGCAAGACTTGCAATACTTTATGGCACAAAATGTTGGTTTGTGTAAGAGAAGCATAAAATGAAGTGTTGTTGATCTAGTGTGTGATAGAAAAACACCGCTTAAAATAAAAGAATAATTTTATAAGACAGTGGCAAGACTTGCAATACTTTGTGGCACAAAATGTTGTTTTGTGTAAGAGAAGCATAAAATGAAGTGTTGTTGAGATGAGAATGCTCAGGTGAACGAGTGGTTAGGACAAAATGAGAAAAGGATATATCCGTGCAAGGGTTGGAGTAGCTCCAGTGACAAACAATATTATAGAGACTCAACTTAAATGATTTGGTCACATTAAACATCAACCATCTAATGACCCAGAGTAAATGATTTAGATTTGACTTACATTATGAAAGGTAGAGGTAGGCCTAAAAAGACTTGGGCCTTGTATAAAAAATGATCTTAATTTATTTGAATTACATAGAAATATGACACTCAATAGAACAAAATGGAGAAAAATGATTCATGTAGTCGACCTCACTTAGTGGGTTAAAGGGTTGGTATTGTTGTTGAATTTGATCTAAATATGCACATACAATATAA